TTAACCTTTATACAACCCGTCAGTGCGGCTAACACACATTCATTAGCGCATTAAATGGGTGGTGAACATGTTTTGCTCTGTGTCGAGGCTACAACAGTGTTTCGCGTATTAAGTGCATTTTGTTCAGGTTAGATGTATCCATTTTGTCAGCAGCTTGTATAAATAACGTGGTGTCGATGCGTCCTGGTTAGATCCTCCATGCAGGCATTACTGTCATTGAAATGTTGAAGGATCATGTAATCCAGCCACATACACTCAGTTTCCAGTTCATTAAATAGACCCAGCTGAGATCAATGTAGTCTAATACACAGTCCTGCAGTGATTCCTACCTTCATGAAGGTCACAATGTTTTATGGACTTCTTGGAAGCTGTATTGCATTATACTGATTATATATTGTTTCAAATATCGTGTCTACTCTCACTGATATAAATGGACTAGATGGAATATTGAAAATTACATTTATGTATAATTCATCAGCAACTACAGCATCTAAACTCACCATGACCGTGGTAGGATTTATTACCGGGCTGTTGGTTGTACCAGAGTTTTAGCTAGGTGTACCTCATAAATATATATGTGTGTATATATATAACCGGACAGCATATGTATGGGCACACATTGTATTTTCCAGCCACATGTAGCCGGGATCATTGGGATGTTTTTTGTTGAAGGTTTGTCTGAACTAAACAAGATTTCTTTCGACCTTTCAGACGGTCAGGATGGCAGGCAGACGTATGGCCCTGAAGGCCATTGACTGGGTGGCGTTTGCTGAGCGGATTCCACCCAACCAGAAGAGCATGTTCAATGCACTAAAGACTCGCAGTGATACCATCGCTGCCAAGTGAGTTTGAGACCAACAACAGGGTTTAGACGGTCAACTTCAGTCTTAAAGCGCAGGACTTCTATCATGCTATTACACTGTCTAACAATACAATTGAATATTAATAGATTATTGCAGTAATTGCTGCTTGGTGTTGGATTTGTTTTCTTGCTAATAAGCAAACAGAATGAATCTGAGGAGACTTTTGGAGAACTCTGCTGCAACGTTAACTTTCATGCAGTGACACAGTGGCATATATCAGGGATACTAAACTTAAAGCTGGACCTTGTTTTCCCAAGGTCCTTTTGTAATGTTGTCAGATAGATAATATATATACATCTGTCAGTGGAGGAAAAAAAAACACTTTTAATGTTTTAATGGACTTACTTTGGTGATGCACAATTGCCTTTAAGGATTACATTGTAGTCAGTTAATACTGGCTTTGACACAAAAGAATGGGGAAAATAAGGTTGAATTACCAGAGTTATCCTTTAATTATCTTCTGCTCACCTGACTGAGAAGCTTTGGACAATCACATGTAAATGCATAAAAGAGCATCTGTACACTAGGATCTATTTATTTACAATGTGCAGGAGCTAAAGTCAGTATTTAATAAACTTGCAGTTTGCTTAGAAATAAAATAAAAGGTGCAGAAAAATACTGTAAATTAGTGCACCTACTATTTTATTTTTAGTTTCTTTCATGCATCTTATCAGGTCATTATCAGTAAATTAAATTGTTTCCCTTAGTCATCTATTTAAATTTTTAGCAACTCATGAACACATTTGCTAATTCTTGTTACATTTTTGTACTGATTTGATTATTTGCTTGCTGTACCTTAATTGACATCTGTTAAACTACACCGTCTCTCTTTATACAGGTTATCCTCCCTGCCCGAGGCTCCTGCAGCCATCGACTGGAGTTACTACAGGAGCGCAGTGGCCAAAGCCGGGCTGGTGGATGAGTTTGAGAAGAAGGTGAGCTTTACCTGACTAGTTTATTTGTAAAGGCATCAGCATTATGCGGTCTCTATGTGAAATGTGGTTTAAAAATCCCACTTTTGACGCTACATAGCAACTTCGAATTGTAGGTGGCATATCTTTATGGCTGCATCCAGTTGCGCTGAGACTTTTTAGGATCCAAATTAAAGCTGCAGTAGGTAACCTTTACAAAAATAACTTTGACACAGATAATCTGTGAAAATAAAATCTGGCTCCTTTTAGTGCTCATAATGGCACATACAAGAATCCACCAAGAAACAAAAAAACATAGAAACAA